TGCTTCAAGAATGATTTTACGCTATATCTAATGCAAAAAATAAACCTCCAACAAATTTTGCACGTTTCATAAGCTCTCATCTCACAACATTCGACTAGCCTAAAGATGGCCAGTTTTTTTTTTTTTTTGCTTTAGCATGGCCAGCTAAAGCCATGACTCGAACAAAGTGGTTGTTAACTCTCATCACGACATATGATCTAGGCCTATTATAAACGTAAGAAATATGTAAATAATTTACAGACAATAATATAAAAAATGTAAAATACCTGTTTACTTCATACGAATAATTATTATCCCAATAAACTCATACACACACGCTCTGAGAAAGAAAGAAAGGAGAGAGAGAGAAAAAAAGAAAAGAGAAAAGGGGAGAGAGAGAGAAAAGAGAGAAAGAGAGATAATGAGAGAGTAATCCGAGGTTAGTTGGAAGGATATATTTACAGAATGGCTGAATGATAGAAAATTAGAAGGAAATAGAAATAAACTAAGTGCGACAAAGAAATAGATGGATTGAGAGATAGACGAACAGAGAGAGAGAGAAAGAGAGAGAGAGAGAGAGAGAGAGAGAGATGAAGAGAGAAATCGTTCTTACTAGATAAAGTATTATTAGTTTATATTTGAATTGAGTGGGTCATTTTATGCTCTTTCAGTTAAATTGTATATCGAACCACTGACATGAGTCCATCAACTCGTTTGCCGTTAGGTACAAGCTGCGATTATTGTAGTAGAAACTTCAAACCTAATAGCAGAAACTCTGCACTAGACATTTAATCAAGATTATCAGTTTGAAGTTTATAATATATTTTAATTATAAATTATAATTTAATTATAATTTTCAACATTTTTTAAATATCATATGAAAGAAGTATACATAATATGAGAAGTAATAAAAAGAGAGTTATTGTTAATTTCTAAACCTTTTGGGGTGTATCTTGACGTGAAATGCAATAAGGGGTGAGTTTGTTGGCCGTCAAAATGTCTCGTCGTGGAGTGGGCGAGGTCATTGTACGGCATATCGCCGCTGGAGTGGTCAGGGGAGGTCGCCTCCGTCCCTTTCTTTGTCTACTCAAACTGGGTAGCGGGGAAATATACATTTTCTTTTTCACCAGCCAGTCGGTAACTCGAGCAGGCCGAAGGACAATGAAAAAGTCAGGCCGAAGAGGAAAAACAATTCATTTTGTTGTAAACCACCCTAGGACAGGGTTGCCGTAGGACTTTTTTTTGGGTTAAAACCACAAAGGGGTGGCGCACGCCTATAAAAAAAACTTAGGGAAGTAATTTTCAACTTTTTATATTTTATATTTCCTCAATTAACTTTATGACCCGGTATGTCGGGTGTTTTCTTTCCAGACAACTTAGGTTTCCAGGAAACAGACCCATTTACGTTTTATAGCATCTCTCGCAAATTATTTTCCGTCTTCTTTTGAGACCTATTTGAGGACAGAAGGTAAAACAATCTCACTTCTCTTGTGTCATGGATTGTTTGTAGCAATATTTGAAAATAAATTTGTTAAATAAATATGAATTCTTTTGTCTTCCAAGGGGACGTTATAAATGTGGAACACTATTTATTTATTTTATTTCATTTTTTTTATTATTTACGAGGGTTCGCAACAGCAGAGGCCATATAAACTCTCAGGGTGCCGGGGTTTTTGAAAAAAAGCCCTTACGTGATGAGCGCCGAGTCAAAGACAACCTTGCGGCCACCGACGCCCCCATGGAACACTATTAAACCTATTTCAGTTATACTCAGCCGAAAAATATTAGACACACGTCTGTGATTTCGATCCAATGCGTCTCCTGAGAAGAAAAACATTTTACAGGCTAAAGCGCGCTTTACTAACCGACATAATTCATGGTAGAAAAATGGAAAGAATCAAACATGTTACAACTAGCATCTCCAAAAACGGCCGGTATAAAAAAAGCTAATTAGAAATTACAAGTAAGAAATAGTTTAGAACATAACAAGAATAAAAACAACAAAAAGAAGACCGTCAAAAATTAGGGTTTAGAAAGAGTTCAATATGTGAAGTAAAAACCTCATTTTATAATGGCTGGATCCTGAGTCAGAACATAAACTACAACTATATTCATAAATACAACTATTTATTGCTATAAAGATTAAATGAAAAGGAAGACCAACATCGAGATTGTATTGAGTTGATTTGTAAAATAAATTGGATTATACTAGAAGGAGAAAGCACAAAATCAAATTGACATAAGTGCTGGAAGCTTAAGACCAAAGTTAGATCCATTTTTCATGTTTGAATTCAATGTAAATTTATTACAATTTATTTGGAGTCAATAAAATGTAACATTTTTATCAGGATTGAAATATTTTGTGGTTTCCGTACACCACATATTCTAAGGTAGCAGAGAGGTATTGGGTTCAATTTTTTTTTTTTATTTTAAACTTCTTCTTAGCTGTCAAAAAAATATCCTGGAAAGCTATCGTTTGGAGAAAATTCTTATGTAATATTACAAAATCAACAACTTTCAACTCATGATAAAAAATTACATTATCGTTAAATTGTATGAAATTTGTTGTCATGCTGGCTTGAAGAAGATCCTATTTGGTTGTGTTTTGATGAGTAAACTCTTGTAAAATTTGTTGTAATCTCATCCTTCCGGATGGAAGAAAATATCGTACAACTTTCACCTGGTTTGGAAATGAACGAGAACAGGCTTTTGGTGCCGTGTCGATATAATGTTGTCAAAATTATTTTCTCTCTGTAAACGAACAATTGCAAGGCAATTTATATGTATTGAGAGAAACATTCACGTAGACTTTTATAAACGAATATATTTGTAAGCTTTTATTAAATTGTAAACGTTTGTTAGCGTGCTTAAGAAGCAATACTATCTATACACGAAAAACACGCAGCGGATTCATAGAGAGAGGGAGAGAGGGAAAGGAAGAAAGGGAGAAAGAGAGAAAGAGAGAGAGAGAGAGAGAGAGAGAGAGAGAGAGAGTGAGAGAGAGTGAGTGTGAGAGGGAGGGAGAGAGTTACATACAATGAGTATAATATGTTTGTAAAAATTGTTAGGATTGTTGAATTCTGAAATCCTAACAATCAAACCAAGCTGGGCGTGCCACAAGGGACCATTCTCCCTCTCACTCTTGTACTCTTGTATACTCTTGTAGTATGAATCTAATCAAACACCATCCCATTACCCAATGCTAATATATAAATTCCTGTTTCTAATATAAGCCACTGTCAAAAACCCAGGGATACCGCGAGCACACCGAGAAATGTTGGAAAAAGGGTAAGATGAAATTGGCGTGAGTCTAATGCACCTAAATCATTTTTACCCTAAAACAAACAAGAATGAAGGTCTGTCATTTACTTAAGCAATAAAAACATCTCAGAAGACTTGCACATCACAGGACAACTGTTAGGATTAAAATCAGACATGAGTACAGTAAAAACAAAATACCACTTTTCAAAACTTACATGTACACACGTAGGATTAATGTAGGGAACCACAGCAATTTAATATATCCAACCCATCCAAACATTTCAATCCTCAGAAAATTATCCAAGCTCCCTACTACGCCTTGTAACTTCGCAAAATTGCCTTTGGTCAAGATTTGGTCAGTTTTTACTTAAGTTCTACACGAATTTTTCAACGTAAACATACAGTACAAGATCCCTCTTTACTATTTATCGTCCCCAGAATCCTCCATGTTACATAACACGACATTGACCCAAAGACCTCTCCCTCAGCGGGGAGAGTACTATCCGAAGCTACTTACTAGTTTCATAAGAAGTGTTCTCAGAGTCAGTGCTGACCATAGTATGAGGTAGATGACAAATTTGTAAGACACATAATATTATGTTGATGTATTGTAATAGTACAAGTCGGTGTGTTTATTATACTGCGCCCTTTAAGAACTGCTCCCCGAGGAATATCGAATACTCTGGGGGAGTGAAAGACCTCTATGTTTCTATCGAGTGCTGTGTTTGTGTTAATTTATTAATGAATGTAATTTATTAGCGTGAAAGGAAGGGGTTGCTGATAATCCCGCCCCGAGGAATATCAAGTACTCTGGGGTGAGTGTATGACGTCTGGAGAGTAAAAGTTATTTATTAGCGTGAAAGGAAGGGGTTGCTTATAACCCCTACCCGAGGAATATCGAGTCTCTGGGGGAGTGAATGTGACCAGACATCTATGTTTGTGATGATTATATATATGTATTGTATGTTTTTTTATTATGTATTTGACAACCTGAGGTACAAACGAGAGATTAGCATTCTAGAATATCAACGTTGTATATATTTGAAATCAGAGAGTCAGTAACCAGATCAAGACGTTCAAATGGCTGCAGGTTAAAACAAAATATGCGCGAAAGAAGAGGAAAAGAAAGAAAACAGGCAGAGGGCCGGCGATAACTTCAGCTGTTTGTCGGCCCATAAACTTCCCACTTATATTTAAGAACTCCTATATCCCCCGTTATTTGTTTAAAGCACACAGGTAAGTACTAGTTTATCAAGGAACTCGTTTAATATGTCCGGTTCTTCCTTCTGCGGGCAAGTGTAGAACCATCGTTTTTTAGTAGATGTGTTGGTGTCTCTTCTGCTTCTTTCCATAATCTGCACGTGCGATTAGCTAATCTTCTTCAGATGTCCATTTTTGCCGAGTCCTGTTAAGAATCCTATTAGAATTCGCAATTTTTTGTTGCTTCTTTAATACATTCTGTTAATACATCTACTTCCGACTAAACGTCCACAGTTTGTTCGGAGGTTGTTGGATTGATTGTATCCAATGAGTCATTTCCATTGTTCCCTGATTTTCTTTTTATCCTTCTGAGTTGCTCATTAATAGTGTGCATTCCTATGACGTAGAAGGCCTAAATGTATGTTAGGGTGCAAATAAATTTAAATATGTAAAATATGTTGACTATGAAAGTGTCTATATTTGTGACAGATTTACAATTATTTTACACTTGTTGAAATATTCATCAAATGTTGGTTGAATTAATTATTGAATTTTTTTAGGTTATAGTCATCGTGCTACTTGCCGCAGTCTTCGTGGACGGAACTGCAGTTGATAAGTTACTTCAACTTCACAGGGTCATGAAGCTTGAACCCAAGTTTGAGAAAGCGATCACAAAAAACTTGACTAAAAGTACGGAGCAGAAAAGACACGTGAGAGGAGAACAGCAAAGCTTATATTTTCACCCAGTTCCTACCGGCAATCATGAACTAGTTCAGCCGAATCAGCAGCAAGTTTACATTCAAGAAAACCCAACAGATCAGTCACAGTATCAAATAAATCATCAGTCGGATCATCCGCAGTACTTTGCTACTACAACTCCTGATCATGGAACTCATCAAAACTTAGATGCCGTGCAGTATTATCCTGTTACACATCAAAACGTCGAAAGCGGAAAACAGGGCTTATTCAACCAGCAAGACAACTACAGAGTACCGGTTGTTTTCCGATTTCAGCCCAATTATGAGCACTACCTGCAGAACGTGCAATACGAAGCTGATCAATTGCAAGATACAGAAAATAAAAACGAGCTTGGCGATCCCCAAAGAAAGTATGTTCAGAATTTATACGATCATTCAAGCGCACATCCTGCAGAAACCGTAAAATACACTCCATTGCATTTGCTTGTAAACAATTTGGTTGAACCAGGGAAAACAACCATACAAGGTAAACTAACTTTTTAATAATAACACAGACATAAATTTTATTTTATATGATCAAATAAAAAGTGCTTCGGTGGTACAAGCTTTAAAACATTATAGATGGGGTGTTAGCTTTTAAAGAAAAAATATCAGACAAACTGGTAAGCATACCCACAGGTCATCAATCATATCGCAAACTTGAAACACGATTCCTAATCACCTGGGAGAAATATATACCCCTATATCTGATTCATTTCAACCATCGTTCATGCCGGACTTTACCTAAATTTCTTATTTAGGACAACTAACAATCGTGACCCTTGTCATGTACTTTTCAAAGAAACTGTGTAAATGATTCAAAGGAGATGAAAATTAATGAAATAACGTGAACTTTAAAATCGACGATATTTTTTATTTTTTCAAACGATATTTATAAAATAATAGTTCATTTAATCAAATTTATTATACTTTATTACGTGAAGTATTACAGAGTAGAAAATTGCAGGTGGATCGTTCGAATTCGGGAAACAGCCTATCATGCCTGTATATCATTATCTTCCTGTTCCAAAGGGTACATTTCCAGATACTTCGGTAAGTAGAAATTCTGAATAAATCTAAAAATAAAACCATAAAGGCAAATAATTTTTTTTTTATCCAGGCGGTAGAACTCAAAGACGAAAGAATTAAAGAAACCAGACCGTCCATTGCGGAATCTCCTGAAACCCCCGATGAAAATGAATACCCGAACAACGAAAATCATGACTACAGTATGTACGATTTCGGCTACAGAGTCACAGACAACGAAAAAGGGGTAGAAATGGGAAAAGTTGAATCCAAATTGAACGGTTTGACCAAGGGCAACTACCACGTCCTTTTGCCCGATGGTAGGCTCCAAATCGTCAAATATTGGTCAGATCACACAGGCTATCACACGGATATATCATATCGTTCCAAATTGTCAAGTTGAATTCGCGAATATAAAATATTCCGTTCTGTAAACCGTCGAAGTCAAAAATGGAGCTACCACGTTGATAAACGATAATAAATTCACTTTATTGCTTCAATCTATAGCATGTAGCAAGCTGTGTAAATATTTAATATTTGTATAAAATATTGTAAATAAACATAAGTTAATAAAAGCTTTTTTACGTAAAATAACATAATGTGTTTTTTATACAAACAGAAACCCATGTATTTTAGGAATAATATTTAATCTGAAACATACATCTGTACACTTATTAAAATAAAAAAATTACGGAAATGGACCATGGTTTTTACATTTTATGGCAAATTTAACTTAACTTGTCCAGCGTAATTCTGATATTCTTGCGTGTTCAGATGTTGAGATTTCCAGTGAGTCTCAACACGACATATTTTGTACATATTTCATTTGGTAATAATTATTATAGAAATACATATTCCATTTCAAGGGTGTAATGTTTTTGCAGATAGACATTCAATATTTTCTGAAAACGTTAAATAAAACGACGTCAGTTTTTAATTCATAAGGAAATTTGCACTGTTGATTCAGCTGCACATGGGGCCAGACTCTGTCCCCCTCCCCAGTTTTTCACGTCGATCTACTTAAAAAACGGGTTGAAATATTTCAAATCGACATATTTCATTCGACTCCAATGATGTGAATATTACTAGTACTTAATAGACTATGGTTTATGTAATTAATAAACTGTTTTGTTTTATTGCTGTAGGAAATTTATTATTGTTTGTAATCTGATCGCGGCGATTTCCATCGTTGCAACGGAAGGTAAGACTTTCGCTAAATGCGATCTCGCTAAGGAGCTACTGAAGAAGAATTTCTCAAAAGAAGACATGCCAAAATGTATGTTTTGAGTTTTATTTTTATTAATAAGTTAACACACGAAATATATAATTATATATCGTTTATTAATTGAATTTTTGTTGTTCTGTTTTTTTATAATTAATAACAATATAATAAATAATAACAATATAGAATATAATTCAATTATAGTTGACGTTGATCGACCAACATAGTTTAAACTGATGTATTGGATCTTCTTGAGGTCATTTTTGGTCAAAAAATGACCTCAAGATAATTCAATTAATTAAGATTTTTAGTTGAGATAAAAAGTCAGTGTCACGAGCGGGATTCGAACCCACGACCTTCGGCTAGATACGCCGCTGCTCTACCACTTGAGGTATCGTGACCTCGATCCACTCGGACACTAACTTCCCATCTCAAACCAACCTTTTGAATTTTCCCTTCTTTTTGCCATTTTTCTAAATAATCTGTTTAATTCTTGGCGACAAATGAAATCGCCACAGAGAGCTTTAGTCAAGTATACTTCATTTTACATCTTACATCTGAGAGGTTTCGTGGTCCGCTTGACCAAACAAATTCTTTTCAATTAATTTAATTAAGATTTGGTCGAGATAAAAAGTCAGTGTCACGAGCGGGATTCGAACCTACGATCTTCGGCTAAATACGCGCTGCTCTACCACTTCAACTATCGTGAATTCGATCTGCTCGGACACCCACTTCCCATCTCAACCCCGCTTTTTGAATTTTCCCTCCTTTTTGCCATTTTTCAAAAGTCGTGTAAATCTATTTGATTCTCGGCGACAAATGACTTTTTTATCTCAACTAAAAACCTTAATTAATTGAAAGATATTAATTGGTCAAGCGGACCACGAAAACTAGTGAATAAAATATAATATATATAATAAATATATTTTCTTGTAATTGTCTCTTGTATCGCACAAAAACCAAAAAATTCGAACAAAAATAAAATGTAATGAAGTGGACTATGGCCAATGGCGGAATATTTATAACATTACCCCTGAAAAGTCCCTGAAAAGCAAATTAGCCGTTATATAAGGCAATTTATTAATTCTGAATAGGGTTGCTATTATTGTGTTGACTTTGCAAAATAAATGATATTCTGTGTAGGTCTATCGAGGAATTTCCAGTACTCCACCGATTAATCAGAATGAGTGCAATGTATGAATGTAGGCTAGGTTATATGGTTATATTATGGATGTGTTGGCTGGAAGCCGACGACCTTATGCCCATCTCGCTTAAGATGGGTACAAGACCAAGCCACATTTATATATANATATATATATATATTCAATTTCATTTAATTGCTAATTAATAATAATTTAATTAAACTATGGTAAAATACAATGTTGATTTACGGCTTTTAAAGCTTAATTGATAACAAGACAGCTTTCGTAGCTGCTTTACGTTTCAGTAACACGTGTTTCGGCTTCAAGCCTTCTTTAGAACAGTTTTCAATGAGGATGGTGTGAAGCAGAAACATATATGAGTGAAATACACACAAGTGTCGATCAATTCATTCACTCGCAGATCAAGATTTTTAATTTGTTAATTAGTTCTCTCTTTAACTTTTTTTAACGTAACTATTACTAATTTGTATTGACTAATGAAAAAAAAAATTTCTAAAAACTGTCGTAATTTTGCAAAATTTTCAAATTAGTAAATAAGCGTTTTATTGTTTTGAGGGCTTTGCCTCGTAGACAAACTGAGCGGTTACTCAACATCGAAAGAAGAATCTACAGCAATAGGAACAAAAACCATCGGTCTATTTCAGGTATTGTTTTATTCTTTGAAATAAACACAATTTAAACGTGCTTAAATGTTGTTTGCTTTCTATCTTTATACTGACTTACTTAATGAAGGATTACATGTTATAGCCTATTTGTCAAAGTGTCACAACTCTTTGATATAGAGTGGTTAGCATGAGAGATTCTCACGCCGCGGTCGTGGGTTCGATTCCCACCGTCGCCTCTGGCCCTTCTTTCACGATAACCCCCCAATTTGAACACACATATAAGAATTGTCACCATGGCTAATATGCATAGATCATAACGCAAAAAAAAACAACTCTGATATGTTATATGATACTTTGTTGCATCTATTGCCGGTTTGTTATTAAACCAGCAATCAAAAATAATAATAAAATATATTGTTTGTGTAGTTTAGCGAAGAAACCGATTGCGGAACCAAAACTGCAAGGGGAAGATGTAACGCGAAATGTGATGGTAACATAATGAACATAATACCTGTTTCCTTCAGAATATGCTGATCATACTTTATTTTATGTTTTATTTAGCTCTGAAAACAGATGATATTACTACCGCTGCAAGGTGTGCATTACAAATGAACACAGATAGACAATTTAATTTTTGGCCCATATGGAAGAACTCGACATGCCGCACAAACACGCAGAACTACGTTTGTAGTCTCTGAAAAGCAAATTAGCCGTTATATAAGGCAATTTATTAATCCTGAATAGGGTTGCTATTATTGTGTTGACTTTGCAAAATAAACAATGTACAAAAAAATAAACATCAGTTGTCATAAAGTCGATTAATTTTTCGGGAAAAAATCATAATCCTTTTATAAGTTCACTTATTTTTCTTGTACAAAACTAGGGATTAAATGATTTAAAAAATACAATTTCCATTATTTAAAAAATGACGGTTTGTGTAGCCAACACATTATTATCTAAATGGATGAAAATATTACAACAAATTATGGAGCCTTAATAAAATTTTGTCTTAACGAATGTTAACATTATTTTATCATCACACTATTTACTTATTAAATGTACAGGAATATGTAGGAATACAAATATTTTGATTTTTTGGCGCACTGAAGACGTCGAAATGCTGAAACACCTCTGACAGTTAACCACAGCAAGGATATGAAACTCAAAATGAACTAATACGACCAAATTGCAGGTACACGGTAAAAATGTATGTACACCAATTTCCAACGCGGTGCTATACCTGTCATAATATACACATAGTATTCGTGCATATTGATTCGGCATGCACAGGATTACAGCAGAAAAAACATGCAAATGGAAAAGAGTACCTCAGAAAAATTTCTATATCATAGAGCTCAAGCGAATTAGGCATACATTTTGCTTAGAACAAAATTTTTAACTAGGGGAAGATGATGATTCTAAATCAAAAAATGGTTGCTGTTAGTTGACTTTAGATTAGTTTACTAAATTGATTTTTTTTTAACTTGAGTAAAAACATGCCTTCACTTTACCATGTAATAGAGTAGGTAGAACCAACATAGGATGTATTCATACGCTATCTATGTATAATTTTACAAAACTTTCTTCTAATGGTGATGTTGAGAACCCCTCTCGGGCTTTCCCTATCTCTCGCTCTCTCTCTCTCTCTCTCTCTCTCACTCTCTCTCTCTCTCTCACTCTCTCTCTCTCTTCGTATATTCGTTTGCCTTACGTTCTGTTTACTCTTGCACACAGACAAGGAATTTTTTTATTTCTACTAATCACAAAGCAGTCTGTTGTATGTGATCTACTTCTGGTAAGGCCATTGCTTTGACCCCGACATGGCAATTAAAATAGATAGCAATTGTTTTCCTTTTCCTCTTTATTTTCGGAGAAAATACCTTTGCCTTGACAGGCCTTCACAGAAGTATATTCTGTTTACTGATCTTTCCTTTTCTTGGCATAACAAGCACCCTCTTCTTCTCTTAGTATTTTTGCATGCTATCTGTAATTGACCAAACTGAGTTTTGTCCGGCTTTGATGCAGCACGGCTGGAGTAAGGGATAGGGAAAGGGATAAGAGAGGCTAGCCAGCTTTGGGCTATTAATCAGCCTCCACAGCTTTGCCAGCGGTTCCTTGGTGTACGATCTTTGGTGGTTTTTCTTGTCCTAGCTGCAAGAACCTGCACCTACATACATTGCAGATACATAAAATGAGTTCTCTGCGGTCTCCTCCTCTCCCTGGCAGTATCTGCACAGTGTTTTTTCTATCTGTACTCCTATCGGGTGCTTGTGCTTTCTTTAGTGGCAATGTCCTGAATCCTGGTTCGGTTGCGGTTGCCTTCCAGTAATTTTTTTGTAAGTTTTGAAGATGGTCGTTCTATGGATCTCTTCGCGGGCCTCATACCTGTGGTATTGTTCCACAAGGTTTTGGACTCATTAAGGATCCATTTTAAGATGTTTCCTCTTTTGAGGCAGGCTTCTAGGCCGCAGTAGGGTTCCGGGCCCATAGAGTCCATGTTGGCTCCCTTTTTGGCCAACATGTTAACCTTTTCGTTGCCTCTATGCCCCGAATGTCCAGGGACCCATGCCAGAGTTAGGGACGGCTGGTGTAAGGTTAAGCGAGATTATTTTAATAGAGTCTTACCACTGTCTCCGTCCTGGGGTTTTGTTCCACCAACATGAGTGTTTAAATTGATCTCATTAGGGACGAAGCCACAATTAGTAACATTAATTAATTATTTTAATAAAGCGTTAATCAAATACACAAAACGTAATTGTATCGGTGATATCGATGAATAAATTCCCCAGAATTCATCCGATCTTCATCAATCTACCAAATATTGTCAAAATCTAGTTTCCAACACCTGCGTGCCCTGCGTAAATTATATCGCAGGACAAAACTAATTTCTTTAGAGTGGATCGAGGTCACGATAGCTCAAGTGGCAGATCAGCGGCGTATCTAGCCGAAGATCGTGGGTTCGAATCCCGCTCGTGCCATTGACTTTTTTATCTCAAATAAAAACCTTAATTAATTGTAATGTATTAATTGGTCAAACGTACCACGAAATTAGTGAATTTTTAAAACAAAATTGAAAACTGTTTAACTGGATTATTATTTGTATTGAGCTTTCGAAGTATGACGTAATATTTGTTTCCTACGACATCGAGATTCTACATGACCTTTAACTTGTTGGTTCATCACAAAATTTCCAGGTTTAGCAGATTTAAAAATTTGTTGATATTAATTAATAAAACGTTCCGTTGTGAGCACAAGTATTTATTGCTGTTATTACTAGGATATTATTTGCACAAATTTCCTTATAAAAAGTGCGTAATATTCTTTCTGATATTCAATTTTTTCCTCTCTTACAATGTAATAATTTTTTAAGACGAATCTATAAAATAATTGATACTGGTAATTTTTCGTTGTCTTTGTAGCTATTAGTTAGTATCATCCCCGTGTAATATTAACATTGTACATTAGTTAATTAATTTAAATATCCAATTTGATTTTTTTCAATGTTGATAAACGATATGATATAGAGGTTTTTCGGTCAAAACGGACTGATAAAAAGGAAGACCGACTGCGCCATCTTTCCCACATGGTACCAACTCTTCCCTTAACTTGTTACGCTTTCTCATAGGTGGCGGTACATAAACATTATTAAAAATATGTGTACAGCATGTTGGACGAACAATTTTTCACCCGGTTTCATACATGCATCATTACTATGAAAGAAAAGATTTTTAAAAAAATTGCCTGCATTAAAATCTAACTTACAAGAGTTTAGAACTACAATTCGCAGTTCGTGATTTAAATCACTGTTAAATCAAAAACCACAAAAATGGTTTTCTTTGTGTACATTGCAAGCCATATGTAATTGGACGACTATTATCAATTCCAAATTTATATCCTGTACTCATTTTTAATTAATTTATTGTTTTAATGTGTATATATGCAATAAATATTTTATTTTTTTTAAAGTATATTGCTTTGTCTATTATTTTAATAGAAAGTATAAAATTATAGGAGTATAGTCAACCAAAAGAGTGGGGATTGATTTTTTACATATATTTGAATATGTCGTATTTTGTTAACTTTGATTGAATATGTGAGTAAGTACTGTACAAACGTCATGTTCTAGTTTTATCGCTATTTCATACTTACTGCGTCTGAACTTATTAACGAACATCGCTTTCAATATGTAAGATTTCAGAAATCTTAAATTGTTCGTAAATATATCTAGATGCTTGATTACCGTATGTTTTTAGAATCTCAAGATTTATTGTAAGTGTTACAGAAGAAATTGTTTTTATTCTTTCCTTCATAAAAGAATTTCCTTTGCATTATTCCTAATTATTGAATTGTTTAACTGTTTATACTGTGTTCTAAATTTGGATTTCCAATTTCTTATGTGAATACTCTTAATCATTGTAATTTATTTTACTTCACTTTTATTTTATTTAATCGTTTTTACTTTTGATGGAATTTAAACATTTTATTCTGTCTCAAATCTTTAGTTTAGTTTTATACATCCTCGTATATCAATTGTGATGTTAAAAATGCCCCTTAGTGCTAGTTGTTCGTTTTTCTTTTTATATTTTACTTGATAAGTTACTTAGCAAGCATTTGCTTAATAGTAGAAACTTACGAACTTAGCTAAAACAGTATAGAACAGAATGTACAGTTAAAAAATGAGAAAAATTAAGAGCCAATTTTTTTATCGTCGTAGAAAATTCAAATGGGAGCAATGTTTTCTCTACTAGTGTAATTTATTAAGATATACATTCACAGAAAATCGACTATACGACTATATACAATATTATTGTCTGTATGGAGTACTGTTTGTCACATTTGTTTAACAAGTAAGTTTATAAATAAGAATTATTTATAAATTTATTAGTTAAATATGTTCCATACTTAGTACCACAATGTTTCTGCATTTCCACCATGGTGTACAGACAGCATCTACCAAAAATTAAATAAAGCGCAGAGGTAAAAATAAATAGTAACTCGATTAATTGAGTTGTATATTTTTTAATTAATATTGTTGAATTTTTTTTTTAATTTCTTCAAGATCGAAATTTTCACCATCTTTCGACACAGACGTCCGTTATTCTCGGTTTTTGTGGTATTTCCTCTTGGAAAAATATCCATCAACCTAACCTACCCGAAATAAGTTTTAAAGGTTGAGAGGAATTTGAAAATGAACGTGATTTCACTTCATAAATATATTTCAAAACTTGTTTGAACGGTGTTCCTGAAAATTGCTCTCGATAGGTAATTTTCACAACTTGGTTACAACAAAACCACAGCTAATTATAACAAGAATTTCAAAAGAGCATACAAGTATACTTTTGTATTACAATACTTTCTCAAACACTTCTGACATAAACAATCCTTATATAAACGCTGAACGAATAAAACATTTTTTTTTAAAGTAAAGTATCATACATTATGTTTAAATTTCTCTAAGAAGATTCAAACCTGGTGAAAATAATAAAATATTATAAAAATTCGTTAGTATATGTTAATAATTAAAATTATTATTTTGTTGTAATCATTTTCTAAGACGGGTTAAATCTATTGGATTACACGGTTAATAAACGCTCTTGGTAAAAAACCTAAATTTCAATAATTATTCGGAAATCGTGAGATGCGGTCTGGTGTGATGTAGGTTTCAGAAAAACATTTTATTTCGTGCACTCTCAACACGGCACGCAAGAATGGCACAATTACCCAGAAGACAAACATTTTGAGCCCTGAAGATGATCTCAATAAAGATCGAAACGTTGACACGATGAAGAAAATGTTTTTCTGAAACCTACATC